TACATTCCCATGTTTTAACAAATACGAAAGGGTTTTAGCTGTTTCATATAACTGGCCTTCGGCAAAAGATTTCATCGAAAGGAAGGGCTCCCTGGCCTGCATACTTTTGCACACCACTGATCTAAAACAACCTCCTCACTGTGCAGACGAGCAGGGCTAGGTGAAGGCCAGGGAATGGAGGGGCCTTCCCTGAGTTTGCATGGTGAGCTGGGCCACGTTATCAAGACTCGAACTCAGGACTCCCGACTTTCTCGTCACCTCCAGTGGCTGTGTTGGCTCCCTGGGCTGTGAGTGCCAGTGTGCCCACACTGCCCGTTGAGGCGCCTCTCTGGCCTAGCTCGGCCCTCTTTCCAAGTCCCAGCCCCCGGGCAGGCCTGGCTCATGGGTTCCTTTTTAGCCTCTAGACTTGTTTTCCTCTCTTTGGGCTTGTTTACCACAAACGTGTGTTTTTGAAAGCCTTGTTTCCATGCCAAACAGTGGGAGCAAGATGCTGGTTTTGCGTCAGCAGCTGAACGAAGAGGCCAGCCTGGATGCTGGGCTGGTTCCCCTAGAGCAGGAAGAGGAATGGTGTCTTTGTTCCACCCCAACCGCCTTTCTCCCCGGGCCACAAAGAGCTGGGATTCTTGCCCTGGATTCTTGAGGGGGGTGGAGATTCTGGGATCCTTGGATTTTAAGATGCTCTTCCAAACAACATTGCTTATTTCTTGCATTCTCTGGCATATATCACCCATGCACCTTTCAAGGTGGGTGTGTTATCTTCATTTTATAGATGGGGAGATAAATTGAGGCCCAGAGAGGGAAGGTCACTTTCTGAAGGTCATGAGCCAGGATTTGAACCTGTACGTTCTGTCTCCAGAGCCCACAAGCTTACCTTTCTGCTATAGTGCCTTTAAAAAAGTGTATAACCACTCTATGTAATATTGTAGCCACAAGCCACATGTGGTTATTTAGATTTAAGAACTGAGGTCTTCATTTGCACTAGCAACATTTCAAGTGTTTGATAACCACATACATCATCTCAGAAAGTTTCTACTGGACTGCATTGCTTTATAAACTTTTTACTCAAACCAGGTTTAATCATGACAACTCAGATTCTGTGCTTCACGTTTCTTAAAAGTCTACGCTTCCAAGCCACAGTCTAAACTTCTGTGATTCTGAGGTTTCTCCCAGTTCTGACATTTAGCAACTTTCAGTATCCAGGGAGAGCCCGAAGGAAGCCCTTTATGTTCTGAGGGAGATGGACTTGGGGGGCTGGCTGTACTTTTCCATCCCCAGAGTCCTTCCAAAGAGAGAGAAGTGACCTCAACCTCAGGTCCTGCTGGCAGCCAGGGTCGGGTTCTCAGCCATCCCCAGAGCAAATAAAGGCAAAAGAAGGGACTTGATGTACGGAACAGGAGGCGGCGGCGGCAGTGGGGTGGGGGTGAGCGGTGTCTGCGTTTGATGACCACTTGAGCCAAGGGAAACACACCTCCTGTTCCTCCCTGGCCTGGGCCACCTTCTCTCGTGCACCTCGGGCCAATTCACAGCCCAGCAGGGGCCCATTCAGGTGAGCTCTTGGGAGGGAACAGCCACTAAGGAGACTGAGGTGGAGAGCATGCTAGCTGGAGAGTGGCCTGCCTGGGTCTCTGTCCAGCCCTGCCACTCACTCCCTGGGGCTCTTAGCAGGTTTCTGCCCCGCTCTGGGCCTCGGTGTCCTCACCTGTGCTGTAGGCAGACAGACACACCCTGAGGCCCTTTAAAAAGGATAAACATCTGCATCATCACAAACTCGAGAAACACAAAGAAGAGAGTCTTCATTTAATACTGGTCATTGATAGGAAGGTGTTTATCTTTTCCCCAGGCCTAGGTTTGATTAGCAAAGGGTCTGTGCACAGCGGAGACGTTGTGAATGTTGGGGTGTGACCTTGTGTTCTGACCTTGCTGAGGTTACTGTCGTACCCCGTTAACTTTGCAGGCTGGGCGCCGGCCTCTGCCAGTGGTGGTGGAGAGAACCTCGGAGGTGGGTCTCACGGCTGTGTGGGGAGGATGGACGTCCATTTCCCAGAACAGCTCAGCTGCTCCCTGCCCTCTGGTCCCATCACCTGGAGGGAGAGACTCTGGGACTGGACATGTGGCACTGGGTGCAGGGCAGGACCCACAACTTGGAAAACAACTCTCCGCCAAGACTTTGGGTCCTTTTCTTAAGGTTTTTGCTTCCTGAATTTTTCCCCACCCCAGGCCAGTCTCTGGACATAACCCCCATCAGGCCCCATCCAGCTCCGTAAGAAGGGTGCTCGTCAGCCTGGAAGAGGCCTAGATGTTGCGTGACTTCCTCTCCCTCAAGTGCAGACTCCCCACTGGGAAGCGGGCCTCAGAGCCCTCCTGTGCCTGTCTGCCAGCCTGCCATTGTCAGAGGCTCTAAGGGGACAGTGTATACGTGAGGCCTTTAGAATCTACAAAGCACGGCGAGATGTAGACTGACTTTTCTGGCTGCTAAGCCAGGGACGGAGGTGGCAGAGGGGGTAAGCTGACACTGGGGAAGAAGGCGCAGAAAGGTGACGAGGCAGGACGGAGGACGAGCCCACCCACAGCCCTTCCCCGCTCAGAGAGGGACATGGGTTCGCTGCTCAGACCAAGGACACGGGCGCTGGAGACCCGGCCTTCCTGCCTCTCCAACCTCATTCTATTTCCAGTCCTAGCCGAGCTCTTTCTCCAGTGACTTGACCTCTCTGCCATTGGAGCCCAGACAAGGTGACGTTTTTTGTTCTCGCCACCTGTCTCACTCTGACCCTTCAACTTCAGTCTCAGACAAGTGCCTCGTTGGTGCGTTCTCTCCGGCCCCCTCCTCTGAAGCCACGAGCAGGGGGAGTTTTGCTTGTCTTCCAAATGGGGAAGCAAGAACGGAGAGTGTCCACCTCCAGGCCCAAGGGGAACAGGACTTCGACAGTGTGAGGGAGGCCATTGCAAAACTGCCTGGAAAGGGCAGACTGGACTTCTCTGAGGGTTGGGGCCATTGTGAAGCAATGCCAAGCTCCCAGGTCGATTCCTTTGAAGTTCTGCTAATTTTATATTATGCACACCCCCTGAAATAGGAGGTGAGGTTTTGTGTCAGTTTTTTTATTGATTTTTTTAGATGGAAAGGGAGAGAGGGGCAGAGAGAGAGAAACATTGATGACAGAGAAACCTCCATCGGCTGCCTTCTGCACGCCCCCTACTGGGGATCGAACCCGCAACCCAAGCATGTGCCCTGCCCGGGAATTGAATCGGGGCCTCAGTCCATGAAGAGTCACTCAATCCACTGAGCCACAGCAGCCGGGCTGTGTCTCTTTTAACCCAATAAAAGACAGTTATGCACGCTGCTGTTCCCCTGCCTGTTCCTGCTATCCAGATACTGCACTATGATCCGAGTGGAAATGTTCCCTGCCAGAGGTGGTGCTGTGTATGAGACCGGCATGTGCCTGTGACACCTTAAGGGCCTGGCCTGCCACCAAGTTCACCTGGTCTAACTCTCTCAATTAATGGAAGCGGGGACCAAGGTCTAGTGAGGATGAAGGACTTGGCCAGTTCACCCAAACACTATTGAGGGAGAAGAAGAATCTCTGGCATTTAATTCCAAGCCGAGTGTTTTTCCCACACCTCCCAGGTGCTCGGTCAGTTGAGAGGTCTTAGAAGGAACGGAGATGATAAGTTCAATCTGGAAGTTTGGGGGGACCCCAGAGGGAAGACAGGCAGCTGCTCACCGTGCCTGGAGCTGCTTGGGGGCTGCGGGAGCATGTTCTGTGTGGCCAGAGTGGACCTGGAGAAGTTTGAGGGAGGTCAATTTAGATCAGAAAAGGAAGAACTTCTTAAGGACATTTGAAGACGGAAGCACATTTAGTTAGAACAAGAAGCAAAGTGCCTTCACTGCGGATCCTCTGTCGGGGTGGCATCATTGGCACAGAATCGTCGGAGGAGGTTCTGCTTCGAGGTCCCCAGCAGTTATGCGACTGCTACAGTCAAGAGTGCAGTGGAAAGAGTGAGGTCTTAGCAGTGACTAGGACAGAGGCTTTTCTAGATCACAGCAGACACCCTTCAGCGTGAAGGTGGAAAGAGCAGACGCAACATGTGTACGCATTTGGGCAGAGTCCTCCGCGCCCGGCAGAGAAATGCTGCCACCTCTGGGGAGAAGGGAGAAAAATGTGGTCACGCTCAAGTTTCCACAGGTCCAAGGCTGTTGTTCTTTGTTTTAGAATGTAGATCTCATTGTCTCGAATTGGCAAGATGTGGCTGCCCGCTAGGGAGGGGGGACGGAGGGGAAGGAGAGTGTGGAGGGGATGGAAGATAATTCTAGAACATCAGGGACTGAAGGCCCCTTGAACATGATCTGGTTTAGCATTGTGCATACTGGACAAACGAGCCGATCCTTTTCGTGATCACTTTTTGAAAACTTAAAATAAATGTATTGAGGAAGGAGACTTTGTATCATTACCGCAGAAGGAAAAATCTGTGTACCTTTGCCATCAATAGAAGGAAGCTGTAAAAATAAATACAAAGCAGACAAAACAACTTGGTTGAATTCCAGCTGGATCTAGCTTCCTGTGGAGGCTCTGAGCCAGAGGCCCGCTCTCTGGTCAAAAGGAAGACAGATCCGTTTCAAGAGGGGTTAAAGCTATCTTAGCATCCAACTAAGACGTTCTCATATCATCAGGGTTGAAAGAACAGTAGAAGCAACTTTCTCCCATGTCTTTCGCGATCATTTAACATGTACTTCTAAAATCTTGTAGGCCCTGGGCGGGGAGCTCAGTCGGTTAGAGCGTCATCCAGGTACGCCAAGGTTGCAGGTTTGATCCCTGGTCGGGGCACAGACAGGAATCAACCAATGAATGTATAAATCGATGTTTCTCCCTCTAAACGTCAATAAATAAAAATGTTAATATAATAATAAAATAAAATTATCTTGTCAATCACCGGAATTCAGCATCAGAAGGAACGTCCATCGAGAAGCCTCCTACTCACTAAAACCTCCATTTCTCTTCCCACAGGGATCCCAGCACCATGAAGGCCTGGATCTTCTTTCTCCTTTGCCTGGCCGGGAGGGCCTTGGCCGCCCCTGTAAGTACCTAAAGGTCATCTCTGCTTGGTCCTACCTCCCACCGCCAGCTCAGGGCCATCAGATCTGCCAGCCCTGGATGCTCAGAGGGGACAGGGACTTCCCACCTCAAGTTATCTGTCTTGTATTTTTAAAAGATGTTTTTCCCTTAAACTAATAAGCTCAGGATAAAGATTGCAATGAGGACCGCTAGAGGTGATTCCAGAGAAAAGAGATTTCCACGGAATGAGATGAACAGTTTAGCGGTCCGAGTTCCTCAGAAACGGACCAGGATCGCTTTAGAAGTTGGAGACCACTGTGTCACTGGAAGAACCGCAGCAGAGACGGAACTGTGGGATGGCTGGAGAGAGAGCCCAGCCACAGGGAGAGGGATGGGTTAGTTTCCGAGTGAGTGAGGGCTATTTGGACTGCAATCTGAGTAAATTAGAGCGGAAAGGATACAGAGAGATTATAAAGTCAAAGGCCTTGGGGAGGATCAAAACAGGAAGTTCTAGGATGTGGGAGGTAAGAGCCAATGGACAGTCTCGGAGATGTTGCCATCTGAATAGATCTGCCCCGACAGTTTTCCCTTCTTGGGAGAACGTGCCAAGATTATAATAAAAAACTCAAGGAGCACCAGCGTGGCTGAGCCCGGGGCCTGGGCCTGCTTCCTGGCCAGGGGGTGCAGGTGCCTTGACCAGCACTCCCTCCGAGAACAGCAGAGGGCCAGGGGCGGTGGCCTGGTGACCGGGAGCCTGTACCAGAGGGAGGGATAAACGGGGAGCAGGCAAGGCGAAACATTTCTTTCAACCTGGAATTCCCTCATCCCCCCTTAATGAGGAGGTGTGAATGATGGTAGACCCTGGCGATCGTGACCAGGCGGGCAGATTTCGGCAAACATCTGGACAAGGTTGACATTGTTAGAAGCAGCCCCAGCCAGCCAGTGGCCTCAAAGTTATATGTTCCCTTGCTTCTTCCTGCTCCAAGTTGACATGGCAAGAAGGAATTGCCTGATGATCCTCGTGATCTCTCACACTCGTGGGGTAGGTGGTGACATCTGTTAAAATTCACGTTGTCCTCCGTTTTCCCATCTGGGAGATGAGAGGAGGTGGTCTGCCTCTGGTTTGTAGACGTCATTGGAACTGAAGCAGAGGAAATGTGTTCCAAGCTAGAGCTTAGACAGACACCTCAGATAGCCAGTGTCTGACCAGGGAGGCGCTCTAGTGTACCATGGGGTCCCGAGTCTGGCGTCCCCTTTACCCTCGTCATCCCATCCCCGCAGTCCCTGACGCACAGCCTGGGCGCCTCCGATGAGCTGCTCCCCTACCTCCCCAGCTTTAGTGTTCCAGGCCAGAGGTGAAGCTGGCCTTGACCATGATCTTCTGAACCCCATTTTTTCTTCCCAGCAGCAGCAGGAAGCCCTGCCTGATGAGACAGAAGTAGTGGAGGAGACGGTGGCTGAGGTATCCGAGGTAGGCGGGTGGTGACCCCAGAGCCCTGCCCCTCCCTGCCCACATCCCTTCCCCGAGGAAACCAGACAGGTTCAGTGGGTCTCCTGTTGGAACAGGGCATTTGTGCCCCCCCCCCCCCCCGGCCCATGTGTGCTCAGCACAGACAGACATCCTGTGCATCCTCCAAATGCTTCCCAAACCTTCAGTGGAGCCCTACAGGTGGGAGCTACAATTTTGGAAATTTTCATTTCTTCAGCTGTGGGACCATTTTTCTTAGATGATCACCCAGTCTCCCCATACATCAAGCAGATGAAAAGGGAGCTGCCCCCGTGTGGCTGGGCTCTGCCTCCAGCCCTGACGCCCTCTGGAAGCCTAGGGCACAGCAAGCGCAGGGGTCTGTAAGGCTAAGGCTAAGTTCTGGAGCTGGTGTCTGTGCTGGGACCTGGCCCAGCAGACCTCGCCAGCTTGTCACCTCACCACCCCCTGTGGGCGCCTAAAGCTTCAGCCAAGCCCCCTCCAGCCTTCCGCCCTCTCTTCCAGGGCTGGGACGGGGTGGGGCCAACAGGCTCACTCTCCTCCCTCCCACCCAGGTACCCGTGGGCGCCAACCCCGTCCAGGTGGAAGTGGGAGAATTTGAAGAAGGTGCCGAGGAAGCTGAAGAGGAGGTGGTGGCCGAAAGTAGGTCCCTTCCCCGTGTCTTGTCACATCCAGTCCCTCTGCCCCCGGGCATGGGACGTGGGGACAGCCTATGTTTCCTTCCCGAGGAAATGCAGGGTGGGCTGTGGAGGAGAAATGGCTGGGACGGGAAGGGTAGGAATGCTGTCGGGAACCTGGGAGAGATCCATTTATAGCCAGGCTGTCCAAGCTGTGAGTGGCAGGAAGGGAGGTCCCTCGGCTGGAAATGGCCTCGCCCTCACGGCTGTCCCTGATTCCAGAGGTGGGTTTCACCTTACAGAGGCCACTGGTCACTGAGCTCCGTACTGGCCTCTGCCGAGCCCGAGCCCCCCAGAGGAGCAGACCCGCGAGCACCTCGGGAACTTTCTCACTCATTCACTTATTTGTTTAGTTTTGTTTTTAATTTGTTTCTTTGTTGGTTTTAGAGAGAAGGTGGGGAGAGAGAGAGAACACCGATTGGCCGCCTCCTGCATGCCCCCACTGGGGATCGGGCCCACAACCTGGGCATGTGCCCTGACCGGGAATTGAACCGGTGACCTCCTGGTGCATGGGTTGACGCTCAACCACTGAGCCATAGCGGCTGGGCCCGAGGCATAGTTTTTGTTGGAGCGCAGTGGCATCTACTGAATCCTGCCCCCCCATCCGATGTTCGCCAGACAGGGCCGGGCTCTGCTGTTCACCTGGGGTCTCTCGGCTCCTCCCCTTTCCTCTGTAGCCTCTCAAGTCTTTGTTGTTGGCCCTCAGAGCTCCCTGACTCCATGATGACAGCTGACTTTCCCAGTCATTCTAGAAGGTCTGTTCTAGATTCCAAAAATGCCTCATCATGATTGATGAACCGAGAGCTGAGAACACAGTGGTGGCCTCAGTCCTCAGGAGCCGCATGGCATCCGGTGCACCTGGGACCCAGACTGGGCCTGCAGCAGCCCCCAAATGTGCCTGACCATGACCTCAGACGGAATTTCGAATCCCCAGACTGACCCAGCTGCTCCCCTCAATGCCGATTCTGGGCTCAGCAGAAGAGAAGGGAGGGCTCAGCTGCCTGTAGTCCAGAGTAGGGGGCACAGGCGGCGACTTCTGCCCATGGCCCAGTCTGGATCGGGTCGGGTGGATGTGCTCTCCCGGGGGCGCTCACTACGTGACCTTGCCCTCTGCCAGACCCCTGCCAGAACCACCACTGCAAGCACGGCAAGGTGTGCGAGCTGGACGAGAGCAACACCCCCATGTGCGTGTGCCAGGACCCTACCAGCTGCCCTGCCCCCATCGGCGAGTTTGAGAAGGTGAGCACGGAGGGGCGAGGCGGGGGCTGGGGCACTGAGCCCTTTCCAGCGCACGTGTCTGCCCAGAACTGCTGACTTGGTGACTCCACTGAGCAAAGCTAGTCTCAACAGTCCCTTCACTGGATCTCGTCACAGCAAGAAAGTGGAGGTGGGTCAGGCGAGGCTCTGCCTAAGCGAACAGAAACCAGCAGGGATTTACTCAGCGTCACCAGGTTCTGAGCTCTGGGCCAGACTCAGAAGAGATACAACAGCAACATCAGGGAGCGAGACGGGCCTGCTCAGCAAGGGAGCAGCTCAGCAAGGCCCCCGGTCCGAAAGTGTGGGCTCTGAGTCAGGCTGAAGGCTGCCTTCCAACCCCATCACCACCACTTGCTGTGAGATCTTGGCTAAGTTGCCAGACGTTTCCAAATCTCAGTTTTCTCATCTCTAAAGGGGAGACTGAAATAGTCCCTTATCTCACAGGGCCCTTGTGGGGATCTGTCAGGTAATGCTGGGTACGTAGTTAGGACCCAATATGTGCTATTTAAAAAAATCTTCCAGACCTGTCCATTCTCCCAATACGACTCATTCAACCAACTACCCAACCATCCACCCACCCGAGTAAATATTTACTGAGTACCCACTCGTGCCAAACATGGTGCTAATGGTGACCTAGCTCAGGGCAGCAAATCTAGACCAGCATTATTCCCACAACCTCTTCTCTGGGTTCTCCGTCTTCAGTCTCTCCCCAATACAACTCATCCTCTGAGCTGCACACTTTAGCATCCTTGTCCACTCTTCCCTCCTCCTCACCCCGTCCCCCTGGTCACCAGTGTCCATCAGGTTCCCCTCTGCGTGATCTATAAGCCATACTAAGCAAGTACGTGCAGGGGCGGGGGGGCTCAACACATGCTCCCCTGCCGCTAGCATTAGCTACTTCCTGCCGCTGCCCTCGGCATCCCTGCTGGCCACCGTGCCCACACAGAGATCACCAGGAGGACTCACGTGGCTCGGCAGACGGCTGTACTCACAGCTAAGATGTATTCTAGCGACCTACTACGAATACACAGCTGGATCACGGGAATAGGACACAGGCAGAGTCTGAAGGAATCCATGATTAGGCCTGTTCTCTCTTTCTCCAGCCCCAGGATGGTCCCTCACTCTTCCCCAGCAAAAAAATGTAGCCACAAGTGAGCAGTCTTTCTGCCCAAGGAAGCCCATTACACTCAGCACCTGAAGTTGTAATAGAGGGCTGGTCACGTAGGCACCCTCTGCCCAGCAATACTCACATTCCGGACTCCGCACAGGGAAGCGATGCTCAGCACAGACTGGTTGCACGAGCTGTCCAGGCTCAGCGAGCCACCTTTATCTCTGGAAAGTTGAATAACACGGCAGGGACCTGTTTACCAGCCAGCCTCCCAGATGCCAGACAAGGGCTAGTTTCTCAAGCATTCCTTTCCAAGGATAACAATCCCCGGCCTGCTGTGTTAACGCTTCTGCTCATTCTGCCTTTCGCCATCCCCACCTTGAATTCACCCGTGCTCATCTTCCAGTTTTCCCAGATCTCAGCCCCGACTCCGCCGTGCCCCTGCCCAGAGACCCGCAGCGGCCCTCAGCGTGCGCTGCACCTGGGCCTGGGAGCCCAAAGCCCGGCTCCTGTCGCAGCCCCACCGTGAACTCACTGGAAATCCTGGCTGATCACGTTCCTAGCTTGGCCTTCAGTGTCCCATCTGTGACACAGGCCAGGAGGGTGGTAGCAGCAGAGGACTTTGGGAATGAAAGCAAGGTGCTCTCTGCTTTGCCAACAGGTGTGCAGCAATGACAACAAGACCTTCGACTCTTCCTGCCACTTCTTTGCCACCAAGTGTACCCTGGAGGGCACCAAGAAGGGCCACAAACTCCACCTGGACTACATCGGACCCTGCAAATGTGAGTCTCCTGGGCCTCCAGCCTCCCATTTTGGGGAGAGGGCACTGAACTGGCACTGCTGCTGACTCTGCTCCCCCCGCCCCCCATGCTGCGAGGTCTTGGGCAAATCTCCCCTCTCTGGACTCCAGGTTTCCAGTTATAAATGAGATGACTGTCCATGAGTAGGATCCTCTCAACTCTCCATTCCTAACATCTCCCAGGAAGGACTGGACAGTTGTGGAAGCACAAGAGCAGGGAGAATTTCTTTTCTCGAATGATAAGGAAGTTCTTCTACAGGGCTAACCCAAGTCTTTCCTGCTTCAACACTGTAAAGCAAAAATGATGTCCCACCTGGAATGACTAGGGGTTTTTATTTTATTTTTTCTGAGTTTTATTTATTTTTTAAATCCTCCCCTGAGGATATTTTTCTATTTATTTTTAGATAAAGTGGGAGGGAGAGGGAGAGAGAGAGAGAGACAGCCATGCGAGAGAGATAACTTGATTGGTTGCCTCCTGCACAACCCTAAACCGCAACTGAGGTACCTGTCCTTGACCGGAATCAAACCCGAGACTCTTTGGTCTACTGATACTCTCACCTCTGAGCCAAACCTCTGGCCAGGGCCATAAAGTGTTTTTAAAATATTTGAATCTGAATGCTTTAAACTAGGAGAGGGCCTGTCAATTCCCCTCAGGCCTGTCACTCAGTACTGCCAGCTCCTTGGCCTCTTGCTCCATCACACTCCTATCTGCCTGCTGAAGGCACGTGACTAGGCACCCTCTTCTGGAAGCCTGGGGGCTAGGTGTTTGGGGGAAGAAATGCCAGGTGTGTCTGGCCTTCTGTTAGTGATGCCAGGTGCAGACTCTGCTGGCCCTGGTGCCTCCTTCAGCGTGGGCTGCTTCCCCCAAGGCCACATCTGTCCCCTCTCCAGGTGTGTCGGGTACATTCCGGCACCAGATGGCCCTGGAGAGAGCCCTTCACCTGCCTCAGGTGTGCAGAGTGCAGAGAGGCAGAGGGAAACCAGGCTCCCCTGTGGCCGGCCCTGCTCTCCCTGGGTGTGAAATGAGAAGGCACAGGCCCGGAGAGGGGACTGGGGAGGGAGGCTGGGAGGAATTCTTGGGCGGTGAGACTGAGGACTGTGCCGAGGAGCCTTTCACCAAGTGGCTCCTGCTGTCCTCTGGGGCCTCTGCCCCCTTGCCCAGCTCCTAGTGTTTCCGCCCCAGAGCTCTTCCACCCCAGCTGCTGCTGAACAGGGTCCTAACCCATAAGGGCAGACGTGGGGGCAATCTCCGGGTCCAGCAATCCGAGATGCTAAGTTCCAAAGACCAGGAAGGCGTGACGATCACCAACAGTGTTCTGGTGGTTAAACATTCCTGACACCCCAGGCCCCTGCCACTGCCGCTAAGCTGGGCCTACGGACAGATGTTATTCCTCAGCCTCCCAGCCCCGAACACCTCCCATGGCTGGCGTCATCTGCGTGGGTCCTGGTCCCGTCACCCAGAAAGGCGCAGGGGCCATTTCCCCCAGCAGATCAAGGCTGAGGTCAAGGCCAAGGGAGCAGCGACGTGCCTTTGTGCTTTTCCATGGGCAGAGCGTTCTTTCCCACGCGTGATCTTTGCTCGTGTGGTGTGAAGGAACTGTGACCTAGAGGACAAGCCACTGGTCAGGGTCACTGACAGAAGCAGCTGTGGGGGGACGGCAGGGGGTGGGGAGAGCCCAGCCAGCCTGTTGCCCTCAGGCAGGGAGAGCTGGGGCCTGTGCTGACCACCCTTGTGTTTTGGACCCTAGACATCCCCCCATGCCTGGACTCCGAGCTGACTGAATTCCCCCTGCGCATGCGGGACTGGCTCAAGAACGTCCTGGTCACTCTGTACGAAAGGGATGAGGACAACAACCTCCTGACCGAGAAGCAGAAGCTGCGGGTAAGTGGTCTCAGGCCCCTGCCCGGCGCTGAGCCGGACAGCTCCTGGCCCCATGAGCCATAGGCTCAGAACTAGGCCGCCGAGTGTAAACCTACATCTGACAAGTGTCTTTATCCTGGGCGCTAGGACACAGACTTATCCTCGCTGCCCTTGGCGGTTCATAGTACACAGTCTCATCTTAAAGGCTCTGAGAAGTCCTGTAGTGAAGAGACCCGCTGCTGCTCACTTCGTTTAGCTCAGTGTTAAACAAGAAACACAAACAATCCTATTACATTTTCCTTCTGAGTCTGGATCTTTACTGATTTTAGAGAGAGGAAGGGAGAGGGAGAGAGAGATAGAAACATCGATGAGAGAGAATATGGATTGGCCGCCTCCTGCACGCCCCCCACTGGGGATTGGTCCCACAACTGGGCATGTGCCCTGACTGGGAATCAAACCGGCAACCTCTTGGTGCGTGGGTCAACGCTCAACCACTGAGCCACACTGGCCTGTGGATCTTAAACTTTAACGGGCATATCAAGCATCTGGCGTATTGATAAATGCAGACTCCCAGGCCTCCCAGCTCAGTGTCTCTGGGAAGCAAAGCCCCCGCAGGCCATTCTGACATGGCAGCTCTGTGAAGAGCCCTTTGGGGTCACTCCAGGCCTCCACATTTGTGGCTGAGATGCTGATATCCCGTCTGTACCACTTCCTTCCCTCATTAGAACCTTGGGCTTGGCGGACCTCTGCCTGCTCTGGCCTGCTGGCAGCGGTGGGCGGGACCCTGCCTGGCCAGACAGTCTCCTAGTCCGGCTCACAGTGTCTCTGCCCCCCCAGGTGAAGAAGATCCACGAGAACGAGAAGCGCCTGGAGGCTGGAGACCACCCCGTGGAGCTGCTGGCCCGGGACTTCGAGAAGAACTACAACATGTACATCTTCCCTGTGCACTGGCAGTTCGGCCAGCTGGACCAGCACCCCATTGACGGGTGAGCCCGGCCCGCGCGGTCACAGGGGCTGCTCTGCTCGGCCCCCGGTGCAGAGTCAGGGGTCAGGGCTGGCAGGTCCGCTAGTTATGGCCAAAACACCTCTCGGCATCCTCCGACGCTCCCAGCCCCGAGCCCACAGTTTGCCCTCGGGCTGGGCAGCAAGGAGCAGGCCTCCGAGAAAGGACGCAGAACTGGGGGGAAGAAGGCCATAGCGAGGCGAGGCGAGGTGAGCGGAGCCCGGCAGTCCTTCCTCAGCCCGTGAGTGCCGGCCTTGGGCGTCCACCGCTGAGGGACAGGGAGCTGGAAAACAGTGCCAGACTCCAGAGGGCTGGCGCGGCGGAGGTGGGCGGCCTGCATGCCCTCAGTCCTTCAGCCAGACCCTGAGACCCAGCCCCACAGGGCAAACGGCCCTGGGAGTTGTTAACACATTCACAGAGCCAATTCCCTCCACATCGCACGCCCTGGGTTTGCCTGCTCTGGCCTCTGGCCCCAGTGAGCTGTGAAGGGCCGTGCAGCCTCGCCACTGAGCAGGCCGGCAGCGGCCAGCGGACACACGCGGCTGCCCATCGCGTGCCCTGCTCTAGGCAGGGGTTTACCAGTAACCCGAACGGACACGGGCCTTGTGCCCATGGAGCTCCCACTCTGGTGATAACCTGTCTGCACCTCACAATTGAAGCGAAAAGTTAAAGAGGCCCCCAGAAGGTACAGGTGGTGGCTTGACCATCTCTAGCTGAGCTGGGGTTGTCACCCTCCCCTGCTCTGTGTTCCTGGGGGAGCTCGCTGTGCCCAGGGATGCTCAGCTCCGGGAGGCTCACCCCTTGCTCCAGCTCCAGCCCTTGTGCCCGGAGCCTGCCCACCTTGTCGGTGAACTCAGGTGGCTGGGGTCTCTTGAGCTCTGGGAAACTTCCTGTTGCTTCTCTCCCAGGCTCTTTCTGTGGCTGGGAGCCAACTGCACCACTCACTGTGGAAGGGGGGAGCAGCTAGGGGGACATCTGGAGCTCAGGAGGAGCAGCTGGATCTCACCACAGGGAAGGGGCCAGGAGGGAGGCTTCCCGATGGGGCAGCAAGGACTGTGCATCTGGAAGAGCATCCGGCCTGGGCCGGGGACCTCCCCTCCCCCCTTCTTGTCCCAGAGCTGTGTGGTGACCTGTCTGAGTCCCCACCCTCCTCTGGGCTTCAGTTTTCCCACCGGAAGGGGGGTGGATATTCTTTCCAGTTCAAATCCTGTGGTTCCTTCCATGAGCTGGGTGGGGCGGGGGGGGTTGGGGATTGAAGGAAACTCAGAGTCACACTGCAGCCCTCCGAGAAGAGTGTTTTGAGGACAACTAGTCGGGGGCTCTGAGGAACAAGGAACAGGCTCATACATGAGCCCTGGGGTCAGCCGGCCGAGAGGACAGGAACAGAGGACAGTGGGAGAGGAGTCAGGCCTGCCCCGCGCTGTCCACACTACACACAGATTCAAGCTCTACGTGGTTCGAGTGCCCTCTGAGCCTCCTGCCAATCCCAGCCCTTCCCACGCTCCTCTCTGGAAGTCAGCATTTCTCCGTCTCTTTCTAGACTCTCCTGTGCATTTGCAGCTGTAGAAACATGTGTCCCCAGGGGACATGTTTTGTTTCATACCAGGTTTTGATCTACCAATAGCAGAGGTGCTGAATCTTTTTATTTGAAGTTTCTGTACCCCCAACTCTTAGCCAATTAGGAAACAATGAAATGTGCCGAGACCTTTGTTACAAGCCCATGGGAGCTCAGGCCTGGAAGGGCCCTTAGACAGGATGGTCAACTCCTCCCTTTTTATGGAGGGGAAACTGAGGCTCAGCGCGGGCCGTGCTGCGCTCTGAGTCCCACAGCAGAGCCGTGGCTTTTCCACGCCTCAGGCCCTCCCCGCCCCCGCCCTCCGTAGGTACCTGTCCCACACCGAGCTGGCCCCCCTGCGTGCGCCCCTCATCCCCATGGAGCACTGCACCACCCGCTTTTTCGAGACCTGCGACCTGGACAATGACAAGTACATCGCTCTGGACGAGTGGGCCGGCTGCTTCGGCATCAAGGAGCGTGAGTGTCTGAGCAGAGGGGCTGCTGTCCTGTGCCTCCCTCCCCTCTCCTCTGGCGTCTGTGTGTCTGTCCTCTCTGCCCGGCTCTGCTCGCTCTGCCTGGTCCACCCCTGCTTCTCTGCCTGTCGGGCTGCTCCCTGGCCCTCTCTGTCTATGAAGCAGTCTCGTCTCTTTATCCCCTCCCTCGAGCATTAGCCCTCACTCTGTGCCTTGACTGTTCCGGGGACTGGTAGGTACCTAAAGAGGACAGAGGAAATAGAACGTGTGTGTGCAAGGGACAGGGACAGGGAGATCAGAGTTCTCAGTCACTGGCTTCCTGGGTGACTGGTCACCTGGCCCCCGGTCCTTGGGGTGGGTGGGGTCCCTGGTGCCTGGGGAAGCATGTCTTGTCCACGCGGGCCTATGTGTAACTCTGCTCTCTTGTCTCATTTGCAGAGGACATCGACAAGGATCTCGTGATCTAAACCCACAGCTCCCTCCGCAGTACCGGACTCTCTCTCTCTAACTTTCCCTCCCGTTTCCCACAAAGTTTAAAATGTTTGGATGGTTTATCGTTCTGCCTGGGGACAAGGTGCTAATATAGACGTCAATGAACACATTAACGGTGCTAAAAATGGAAACTGTAACAACCCAAGTCATGACATTCTCAGTTGTAGCTCAGCCTCTTGCTCACCCACTAACGGTCCCGTCTTTCTCTGGCCGCTTGAGGCGCTGTCCATTGTCTTAGTGACACGCGGTGGGGACTTTGATCTGCTCACATCTGCCTGCGACACATTCTGCATCTCCAGACTTGCTCTCGTCTCCCTGCTTCAAACTAATGCTCACCAAGTTAGACTTTGGTGTTCATTTTATTTCAGGGTGTTGGCTGTGGGGGGGGGGTCCCCATATGGCCAGAAGGTGGACAAAGGAAAGTAACAGACACGTGATATTGGCGAGAATGTTCCTGGGACTAGAGGACCAGTGGTGGGAGGAAAACCCGCCGGAACAGCAGGCGACCAGTCCGCCAGCCCGGGGCTGTGTTCAAGTCCGCAGGCTCCCGGTCCTCTCCGATTCCCCTCCTCTCTCAGTGACGCTTTCTTCCCCCACCTTAGGCTGTTCGTTCAAACTTTTGGGAACGGTGGGCCATTAGTTCTCTAGAATCCACCAAGCCTCGGGGGGTGGGTCACCACACCCCACTAACTGTCTTTGGGAGAGGCAGGGCCGGGAAGATGTTTTAGCCAGGGAAGCCCAAATCCAGAGTGAGCTGTTGAAAGTTGTAAAATAGAAAAGTGGATTTAGTGAATTGGTTTTATTTTCTTAGGTTTTTTTTTTTTTTTTCTTTTCATTTTTTGGATGGCTGTCATGATGGGTCTTTTCCTTGGTTTCTAGCATGTTTCTCCTTTCCCCCTCCCCCCCTTTCTTCTGCTAATCAAGAGAAACTTCAAAGGCAATGGGATGGTCAGATCTCACAGGCTGAGAACGTCACCTCCAAGCATTTCATGAAGAAGCTGCTTCGTATTAATCGTGCAGGCTCTCGCCGGGATGTGGCGAGTCTGACAAACCTTTCAAAATAAAAGTAACGACTTAGAACCTGCCTCCAGAGTGACTGTGCCTGTGTCCCAGTCACCTCGTCACCCTGACATGCAGACCCGCGGACACACGCGTGTACCCATGACTACACAAATGTCAGCTTTTTGTTGTTGTTGTTGTTAATCCTCACCTGAGGATATTTTCCCATTGATTTTGGAGTGGGAGGGAGGGAGGGGGAGAGAGAGAGAAACTTTGATGTGAGAGAAACATATCTATTACCTCCCATATGACCCCAACCGGGGCCGGGGATTGAACCTGTAACCCAGGTACGTGCCTTTGAACTGGAATTGAACACATGACCCTGGGGCCAAGGCTCTACCTGCTGAGCCGAACTGGCCAGGGCACAAATGCAAACGTTGCAAACACACTATCATGCTTTGAACGCACACCTATACACACACACATGTTTATTCATGCACAGGGAATGTATGGTTCCTATAAATACAAATTTTTATGACTTGTGGGCTAATCCTTTTCATCGTTACACTTCATTGTCAGAAGCAAAGGCTAAGCAGCTATCTCCTTTCACGAATCCTTCATTCATTCATCCATTTACTCAATAAACGTTTATGATGTACCTTCTATGTGCCAGGTTCCACGCCAAGTGATGGAGACACAATTGTGGCAAAACAGACGAAGCATTTGTTCTTCCGGAACTTACGGTCTGGCGGGGAACAGATTAAACAGTTGCACAACTAAATAGAAATCACCAGCTGTGATGGCGCCATGATGCAGGACATGAGAAACCATGAGTGCGTACCAGGAGGACGCACAGTCATTCTAGAGCCGTGCTGTCCCATGAGGTGGCCGCTGCTCACGCATGGCTATTGAGATTAAGATTTAAATTAATTAAAATTAAAAATTCTCAGTCACACGAGACACGTCAAGTGCCCATAGCCACAGGTGATAAGGGGTTACCCTACTGAATAGGGCAGATCGAGAACATTTTCATCACTGCAGAAAATTCTACTAGATACGGCTGTTCCAGGGCATCTGGGACGATTCCTTGAGGAAATCTGAGTTGGTCACAAAGGAAAAGAAGGAGCTAAGTGTGGGAGGTGGGAGAAGGGAAGAGGGAGGGGAAAAGCAATCCGGGCAGAGGGAACAACACACGGAGTCCCAAGGCCATGTGGATGGTGCATGAAGTACGGGGGAAGGTCGCACTGGACGAAGCTGAGGTGGGCAGAGGCCCGACCCTGCAGCCTCAAGCCATGGTCAGGAGTTTGGATTTTATTTTCTGTGCAATGGAAGGTGTAGTTTGAAGCCAGAGAGAAGTGCTGGAAAGATAATGGCATCATAAGTCAGCAGAGCACTTTTCAAAGCTCATGCACGCTCGTCGTGATGCGATTTTCAGGCTGGCGCCCAAGTGTCCCCTTAGAGAAACAGGCCCAAGGTGTGTGCTCCACTGCGGGTCACACAGCAGGGTGCAGGTGCCAAGCTCCGAGTTGCGCCCCCCCACTTCGAAATACTAAAACGATACAAACTCCTTCAAATCAAACTGTTTTCTGGTGTTCTTTTTTCTACACAACAGGAGAGAGGAATGGGGGCGGAGGGAGGGCTGGCCAGTTTGACCTTGGCCATTTGTGGAATGCAAACTAGTCTCATAATCTCTAGGGTGATCTCTCTCCAGGCAGAGAGAGAGAGAAGGTAAATGCCAGGATTGGTTTATCATTCATTCCATGACCTCTATCAGGTGCCCGCAGCATGCTGGACATGTCCGTGTTCTCCTAAGACAGGCACGGTCCCCGCTGCCCTGGAGCTTTCGTGAACGAGCCCATTTCGGGTAGAAAACGCCTGCTGTAGAAAACCCAAAGCACGGTGCTGTGGGTGGGGCTCAGTGGATGGAGCGTCCCATGGACTGAGAGGTCCCCGTTGGATTCCCGGTCAGGGCACCTGCCCAGGTTGGGGGCTCGATCCCCAGTAGGGGGCGTGCAGGAGGCAGCTGACCAATGTTTCTCTCTCCCTAAAAAAAGATCAATAAAACATGTCAAAAACAATAACAGAAAAAAAAAACCCAAAGCACAAGGGGTTGACCAAGGGTTGAATGGGGTGTTCCTCCAGGCCAGGAGGGAGGTGTGACCTTTGCTCTGAGGAGGTTAATATGCGGTCCCGTGCCCTTGTCAGCCCAGGGCAGGTCCCCGTACGATGTCCAGCACCCACCATTTCGACAGCTTTGCCACCGCCTTACAGACGAGGAAACTGAGGTTCAGGGAGGTTGAGTGACTTGGTCACGCCATGGGGCAATGAAAAAAGGCGGGGACTAGAACCCAGGGCTTTCTCCCCCCGTAACCGGATGGCTCCTTCTAGGGAGTTTTCAAGGAAAAAGGCGGCATCAAAGAAAGGCATGCAGCATGAGTCAGCCCAGGGCCCTGGGAGGGCGGGGAGGGCTGTCCCCTGCTGTCTGCGCCAAAACCAACCGGCTGCATGAACAGGCCCTCAGCACCCAGCACCCTATCTCTACTTTCTCTCCCTTTAAATCAAATCACGTATTAAAAAAAATTGACCTGGCTGGTGTGGCTCAGTGGTTGAGCATCGACCCATGCACTAAGAGGTCACCAGTTTGATTCCTGGTCAGGGCACATGCCCGGGTTATGGGCTCAGTCCTCACTGGGGGTGTGCAGGAGGCAGCCAATTGATGTGTGTCTCTCATCGATGTTTCTCTCTCCCCCTCTCCCTTCTTCTCTCTCTAAAACTCATTAAAAACATTAAAAAAATGAAAGGATACTGCATCATTACTTTAAGTAGAAAATCAGTATAATTTACCACAAACCGAGATAAACCTTAAAGATAAATACAATAAAAAATATAAAGACAATGCTATGTGATATGAACACACCCTGTGCTTGAAGGACGCTGTTTCTTAATTTATTTTTTAAATCCTCACACGAGGATATTTTTCTATTTTTATCTTCAGATGGGGGGGGGAGGGGGATCGATGTGAGAGACACATTAACTGGTTGCCTCCCCCCCCTGCCCTGGACCCAAACCAGGGCCAGGGACCAAACAGCAACCGAGGTACATGCCCTCGACCGGGATCAAACCCACGACTCTGGATCGCGGGCTGACACTAACCACTGAGCCAAACCAGCCAGGGCCGCTGTCTCTTGTTAAAAGGAGAAATCTAAGAGACTTTCTCTTTGATAATCAGATGGTCCAGAGCAAAATTAAATTATGATGGATTCAATGCTAATTCATGCCTGATCTGCAATTTTCCTAAAATCGTCCCTCCCTGTGGGCCATTCCTCTCCACCACGAAGGGGGAGGGTCCTGTGGGGATCATCTAGGTCCCTGGCAACAGAAGCATCCCTCTTCCCAACATGTGGCAGAACTGGACTGAGCCCCGTGAGCCCAACAAGCCAACAGTGAGCTTGTTTCCTCGTCTGTACAATCCTGATGACAGTGGTGCCTCCTCCCAGGCGGTCGCGTCTGACATCGAAGATCATCAATCAGCATTGTCGCCACCATCCCCTCTGGACGGGGAAAGGCCTGCCCTTTCCCCACGGCCTAGACTGGTCCTGCGCCCAGGCCTCTCTGTGTAAGGTTCCTGTTCTAGGCCACACTCCCTCTGTGAAGGGCCTCGGGCGTGTCTCGGCCCTTAGGCTGTGCAGGTCTCTGCATTAGTTACGGGGCTGCAGGGGTTAAATATGTCCAGCAGGAAACAGAGATAAGGGCCCCTCGAGTGGTAGAGGCCCTGGACGATGATTCAGGACAGTGGTGGAGCCTGAACAAGCACCTGACCCCTCTAGTGGTCTTGTCTCCCTTCTAAATTCTGGTAAAGGCGCTGGATGAGCTGGTCCCGTCTTCAGAGACTCTGTAAGACTCTCCCTCTCTCCTTCAACAGGTTGTCCTAGGAATGGGTAAGGACCTGGGGCCATGGAGGCCTCAGAACCTGGTTTCCAGATGGCCCCCCAGAGCCAGAGGGACTAGCTTCCTCCTCGCTGAGCCAGCGAGGCCGCTGAGGAGGGTCAGGACACCCCCTGGCGGGGAAGGGGAGGAAGGCTCCCAGAGCTGTGGACGCCTTCGACCGACTGCTGGACATCCAAGCCATGAGGGCCCGGAGGAATCATCTAGCCCACCCCCTCCTTTCCCAGATGGGGAAACTGAGGCTCACAGGAGTAGAAGATACTCCCTTGGGTAGGGTTGCCAGATAAAACACAGGACTGCATGTTAAATGTGAATTTCAGATGAACCAGGAATGATTTTTGTTTTAGTACAAGTATGTTCGTGCAATGTTTACGGCGTGCTTCTATTAGAAAATTATTTATCAGGTGTCTGAAATTCAAGTTTAACCAGGTGTCCTGTCTTTTTCTTTGCTATGTCTGGCAACTCTGCCTCCCAGCCAGCCCACCAAGGTAAGGTCTGAGCTCAGACGGCAGCCCAGGCATTGGTCAGGGCTTCTTCCTTATACTCGATCAATCCTTTTTACTAACAGCTGTGCCCAGCACTCAGAGGGGCTTGGGGATGCTTGCTGGCATTATCCTGGGAGAGAGCAAGTGGAGGGATATCTGAGTACTGACTGGGTCATCCCAGGAGAGTTTCAGATGGAAGAAGGGAAATGGGTTCTACCCCTCCCACCCCCATCCCCACTCCCCTACCACCAACCCCCCCCTTCAAGGCTTTGGTGATAGAGTTGCCTGACATCCCTGGCCCAGTCTGATTTACAAGGTTAGGGAGGAGCCTGGGCATCTGCATTTCTAAAAGCCCTCCCAGTGATTCTGATGCATAACAAGGACTGAGGCCCCCTGGCTTAGCTATAAGGAAAAACAGAAAACTGCTTGGATGGGGCAGATTTTAACTGGTAGGTTTCAGTAGTTGTCAGTCTTTCCTATGCACAGGAATTGTTCAGTGAGGGAGGAGGGGAGAGGATGTTTGTTAACAATGCACATTCCCTCTTGGCTGGTGTGGCTCAGTGGTTGAGCGTCGACCCATGCACCAAGAGGTCGCTGGATTCCCGGTCAGGGCACATGCCCAGGTTGTAGGCCAGCCCCCGGTGGGGGGC